CCCTTGTCCTGTCACTGGGCACCATCGGAAGAAGTCTGCCCCCATCCTCCTGACACCCACCGTGAAGATATTTAGGAGATCCCCTCTCTCAGTCTTGTCTTCTCCAGGCTGAACAAGCCCAGCTCCCTCAGCCTCTCCTCATAGAAGAGATGCTCCAGTCCCCTCCTCATCCTCATAGCCCTCCACTGGGCTCTCTCCAGTAGCTCTTCATCTTTCTTGAACTGGGGAGAAGTGAAGGCCACCTTGACTCTCGTAGGAGACTGGGTATGTTGGGAGATGCGGCTGCTTCTCTCCCTTTTCCATGATCTCTCCCAGCGCTGGTGCTCCATCCTGTGCGAAACAGCCCCAAAATTTTTGGTAGGAGGATGGGGAAAAGAAACTAATCGCCCAACGTGGGGCTCGAACCCACGACCCTGAGATTAAGAGTCTCATGCTCTACCGACTGAGCTAGCCGGGCTTGGGAGAAGATGAGGATGGTGCATTCTGCAGGTCCCAAATATCAGCCCAGAAGCAGGAGATGCCATGGGCAGGGGGTTATTCTGGGGGGAGTTCATCTCAAAAGAGAGAAGTCCTCTTTGGTCTGCACCCAGCCAGACGCTGCACCCACACCCGGGAGAGCTCGGGCGCCAGGGTGAGTTGGGTTGCTCTGCATGACGCAGATTCCACTAAAATAAATAAAATTTTAAAAAACCGCCTAAAAATCTACATTTCCCTGACCGGGAATCGAACCCGGGCCGCGGCGGTGAGAGCGCCGAATCCTAACCACTAGACCACCAGGGAACTACAAAAATCATTTTTTTACCCAAGTATAATGCCAGATCTGAGGAGCACAAGGGATTTGGCTTGTGCTTGATGTACAAGAGGGTGTCTGCATGTTTTCCTCCTCTCTCCTTCACCAACCACGCAGTAAAATCCTCCCAAGCCAACACATCTTGGGTTCATCTTCTGCTGCCATCCAGCAGCAGACCCTTCGTGGTGGCTTCTCCAACACCTGGGAGGCCAGAAGTTACCCCAAAAAGGTCTTGCAGCCACCAAATGCCTTCCCTCTGCCACCCCAGGGGCACACTGCCTATAAACACAGGGGATTTCTCTCTGATCCCAGCAGAACCAGAAGGACTCCCCAGCTTTCCAGCTGCTGGATCCATCTTGGTGTGTTCAGCTGGGTGGAAAACACCATGGAAGCCCTAAGTTCCTCCATTTCTTGAGCATGATATAAGGGTGGAAAAGAGCAGATCGCTGGCATCTCAGTAGCTCCATAAAAAACAGTGCAGAGCTGTGGATGATGTTCTTGCTGTAGTGGGGATCCTTGGGATTTGTGACAGGGGACAGGACAAGGGGCAATGGGCACAAACTGAAGCAGAGGAAGTTCCAGCTGAACCCGAGGAAGAACTTCTTCACTCTGAGGGTGACGGAGCCCTGGCCCAGGGAGGCTGTGGGGTCTCCTTCTCTGGAGATATTCCAGACCCGCCTGGACGCGGTGCTCTACAGCCTGCTGTAGGTGACCCTGCTTCAGCAGGGGGGTTGGACTAGATGACCCACAGAGGTGCCTTCCAACCCCTACTATTCTATTCTGTGATTCTGTGAGAATTTCAGATCGTTTACTGATTTTTAGGCCTATTTCCCACATTTGAACACAGTTCAGTTGTTACACAGGTGTCTTTCTCCAACCAAGGCACACAGATGTCCTAATTTTATGGGGAAACCTCCATTTTCAGAAGAGATTTTCTTCAGCTCCTAACAAGCCACACCACAGGTGACATATTGGCACATACCCGCAAGCATAATAGAAATATGACTGGAGCAGGATGAGGAAGACAAAAACCATCAGAAAAAGTGCCTCTGTTTCCCCTGTCAGGCTCTTTCTACCCAAGTTTCTGGAAGAATGGAACAATGAACAGCAAAGAGCTTGAGGAAAAGCTCCGTGGCGACGTGGGTCAGCCGAGACACGGCAAGGAGGGGAAAGCCCAGACTTAACGACAGCGAGCTGTACTCCAGAGAGTTAACTGAATGTGGAGCCTGAGATTTTTGGCTGCTGTTCTAGGTCATGTCCCAAGGACAAAGAATTCCAGCCAGAAGCAGGAAAAAATGATGGCAAAGCCTCCCCCTCCACGCAATCGTATTTTTTCGGCTCGGTCGTGGGATGAATGAATGCAAAATGTGTTGGGGGGAAAGGAACAAACGTAATGCTTGGCTTTGAGCAGAGCAGAATCATGTCTTGGGGTACAACTTCCAGGAACGGAGCTGAGCCATGAAACAAGCATGGGAAGAAACCCACTCTGGGCAAGAGAGCAAAGATGAAGTGGGAAGAGCTGAGAAATATTTAAGTGTTATTTAAGTCAAAGAAATAGCAGCGTCCCAGGGAAAAATCAACATCACACAGGGACAGCACCAAGTTGTTCATCAACACACAACAGAAAAAACTTACCCTCCTAGGACATAACCCCCAAGGCTGGATTATTCCCACCCTAGGGTCTTCCTTCAAGGTCTGCCCCATGGTACCTGAACAAGCACAGCAGAGAAGTCCACAGGCTGAAGGCAAGCTGGGTGATTTGGCAGCATCCATGACTATT